TATGGAACTATGGTGGATGGATGCAATGAATACACAGAGCAGCCATGATCTCACTGAACAGAACAGGTGCAAATGGTTAAATGGCCTGTTTCTGTGTCGTTATTCATCCAGGTGACTTGATATGAAATGTCCCTCTAGAATTTTCCATCATTGCCAGTTTTAATGTGCCAGCATTTTAACCTGAGAATAAACAACTTCATCAATAAATAAAAAGGCACAGAGACTTTAGTTATGAAGAGACTGTGAGGTTCTTTTCATTACAGAAGATTAAAAGGGAATTCAATAGGACATCAAAATCATAAGCTGTCTTGCCACAGCACAAGAATGACTATATAAATTAGTGAAATACTTTTTAAAGTAAAGTGCTTTGGCAGATCCCAAGATTAGGAAAAGTGCTACAGAAATGCAAGTGCTTTCTTTATAAGGCGAAGAAGATCCTGTTTCCACTGCTGAGTGGGTCAGTATCAAATATTTCAACAATTACATGAGGATGTCTTCAGTTGTGGGATTTTAAAGCATGGAACGTCTGACTAAGACCTATGGTGGAGGGGGAAATCCAGAAACAGCTTTTAAAAGGGATGAGGGGAAGCATAAAAAGTAAGGGGTGGGGGAAAGAAAAGTTAAAATCACTTGAGTAAACTGGCAAGCAAACAGGAATAAATGAGCTAGTGAGTCAGAATGAGGCTGAATGGCCTTCTCCAGGACTGTGAAAATATGATTTCACAAAGTGTCCTGTTAAGTTTAGAGTGGAAGAATGTTGGATGTCCATTTGGAATCCACACATTCACAGTTTCCTTTTGGACTAAGGAAGGAAGATTGAGAAAGACGGAAACATTTGTAGTCCTGCTGCAGCACAATAGCAACGTGTGTTTATATAGCACCTATAAATTTAAGAAAACATTCCAAACGTACTTCATAGAAGGATTTTCAGTCAATTTGACACCAGGCGTCTGAAGAATTAATAGGACAAAGACTTGGTCAAACAAGTAGGGTTTAAGAAGAACACGAGGTAGAGAGGTTTAGGGAGGGAATTCCATAGCTTTGGGCCTAGCCGCTAAAAGCAGAGTGTTGAAAATCAGGAAGGCAGAAGACATCAGAACTGGATGAGTGCAATGAACTCTGAGGGTTGTAGTGAGAGAAAGAGAGACAGGGAGGAGCAAGGCCATGGAGGATTTTCAAAACATTGATGAGAATTTTAGAAGTGCAGGCAATACAGAGTAAAACGCTTGCCAACTATGGAGCAAAGTGACCATTAACCATCAAGAAATTCAGGCTCCAGATGGTCAGTCCTTGCCAGCCTCCAGTGAGCAATTAGATGAGAATGAGGACACAGCTGAATTGGTACAAAAACTTTAACAATAATTAGTGGATTGCTTTGTTTCTTTGCCAGTGCAATTTTACATAGTGACGGCTGATAAAATGTCACCAAGCAAATCTACGAAAAGAACACCATAAGTAACTGAATATTCACAATGCAGCGCATGGAATGTGTCTCCAAGGATAGACTGGAATATTTTCCTTGGAAAAATTCCATCAGTGATGTACTCTGGGCTACAAAAATAAATTGGAGGAAGGAGTTGGGCTATAGTGTGTAAAAACAACTGTTAATTGCACTGTGCCATAGAGTTCAGGAAAACAGACACACTCTTGTGCAGAAAACAGTCTGCTCTGCTACACCAAGTATCAGCCAAGGCGATTTCCTTCCTCAACTGGCTTTGCAGTATGACTTACCCTCTGTCTTTGTGTAACTGCATATGGTAAGGTAAAACAAAATAGCTTATTAAAATTCCATTTGAAGTCACAATATTAAAGCAGGATTTTCTCAGTCATGCATTCCAATTTCTCAGTCAAGTCACCGGGCTACTGACTGAAAACTAAATCAACACTGGTATTTGCAACACTTGTTGCGCTCTAAATGTTTTGGCCTTTTCTTCATTTTGAAGTGCAAGTTCATTTACAATTTTATACATTGTGTAGCATTGGTTCACACCCAATTCATTAAAGGGAAAGTATCTGAGAGCTGTCTTTAGGGAAAGTATCACGCTGAGGGCAGACGTTTCATGACCAAGGTGGGAAACACAGTTCATTCCATCAGATGAGATTTAATTCTTTCAACAGTAAACCCCTCTCTCTACCCTGCCCCCTAATGATCACATCAAGAGCACCAGGTAGCCAGGTACCTAGACAACACCAGGCTCGGTTGCCAACCCTCGAGGTGGAATCTCCAGGAATTAAAGATTAATCTCTTGGACCCACTACCAACAAAGTGGAAGAAAAATGTTCAAAACATGCATTCTTGTGTTTCCAATTTTCTGTAAACCTTTTGTTCATTGGTTTTACCATTGCCTTCAGGAAATCCAAGTACCCTGGTATGCCAATAAGTTCCTCCTTATCCACAGTGCATGTTTCTCTTCAAAGAACTTCAATAAATTGATTAAATATGATTTCCTTTTCACAAAAACTATGCTGACTCTTCCCAGTTGTGTCAATTTTTTCTAAATGCAGTACCCACCTATAGCTTCATTAATGATCAATTCTAACACCTTCCCCATGATTGATGTCAACCTTACTCACCTCAAGTTTCACACCTCCAGTCTCGAAGAAAGGGTTTATACTTGCTACTTTCCAGTCTGATGGAAACTTACCAGAATCTAGCTAGTTTTGGAAAATGCTGCTTCGCCATTCCAGCTAGACTCAAAACAGTACCACATTCATGACCCTCTAGCAACACTGCTTCCAGAATCTTAATGAGATCAAGTAAATCCAAAACACCACTGAGAGCTCTGTAAATGCTACATTTCATAAAGAAAAAGAATGAAGTAACTCTGGGCTAACAGTTATCTCAGAGCCTGCTCTTGCAGAATCACTTGGTCAGTAGTCGTCAAGATTGTCAGCAAGAGAGCTATGAGTGAGATAAGGAGAAACTTCTTTTGTTGGTTGTTAAGATTTGGAATGCAGTGGAGACGGATTCAATATGAAGTATTCAAAGAGAAATTGGTATATATTTGAAAGTAATGAATGATGCTGTACAAAACTCTGGTGCGGCCGCACTTGGAGTATTGCGGACAGTTCTGGTTGCCACATTATAGGAAGGATGTGGAAGCATTGGAAAGGGTGCAGAGGAGATTTACCAGGATGTTGCCTGGTATGGAGGGAAGGTCTTATGAGGAAAGGCTGGGGGACTTGAGGCTGTTTTCGTTAGAGAGAAGAAGGTTAAGAGGTGACTTAATAGAGACATACAAGATGATCAGAGGATTAGATAGGGTGGACAGCGAGAGCCTCTTTCCTCGGATGGTGGTGGCTAGCACGAGGGGACATAGCTTTAAATTGAGGGGTGATAGATATAGGACAGATGTCAGAGGTAGGTTCTTTACTCAGAGAGTAGTAAGGGCGTCGAATGCCCTGCCTGCAACAGTGGTAGACTTGCCAACTTTAAGGGCATTTAAATGGTCATTGGATAAACATGGATGATAATGGAATAGTGTAGGTTAGATGGGCTTCAGATTGGTTTCACAGGTCGGCGCAACATCGAGGGCCAAAGGGCCTGTACTGCGCTGTAATGTTCTATCGTCGAGTACACCTTTGCAACAAAGGAAATGTGTGCCTGTTATGAAGCAAAGGTCAACCCTCCCTCCCTCTATTAACTAAAACTGAAACACCCAAAGAAGCTTGCCTCGCCTTGTAATCTGTTAAAGGAAGTGTGAAAAGTGGTATAACCTGCCTTTCACCCCCCCATCTGTTCTAAAAGAGAGGTTAAATGAATGAACTCCTGACAGTCACTCTATAATCAAAAAGTAACAATTTATTTATCTAACTTTAACAATGAACAAATTTACAGTACTACTAACAAACCAAACAATTCCCCCTTACTAACTATTCCCAAATAAAACAAAATTCTAATGGTATGCTGTTCCAATGATTACAACTCCCACTGAGATAAACCAAAGTAATAAGAAAAATAAATTAAAACTTAGTCTCTCAAAATTACAGCCAGGATAAGTCTTCCAGAATGCTTCATGCCCTCTCCACTGATTCTCAGTCATGAACACCTTTCTCTGTCAAATTCTTGTGTCAGGAATATTAGCCAAGAGTGCCACTGTACCTTTTAGTTTAGATTATGGTTTTCTGACTGCTCAGAGAATTCTGTGAGAGCCAGTGATTCTTTCTTTTATAGCTGAGAACTGTTCTCTTGGCAGATGACAGTTGACTCTCAGTGGATTTTCAAGTGCCCTCTTCTTTTATACCTTTGACGACCTATTAATTTCTTGGAATGGGATTGGTCCTAGGTTGTCAAAACCATCAGACTTAATTTTAATTGGGTTTTGGTATCTAGGGCCTGGTTTAAATTAATTGGCTAAATTCTAAAACTCGTTGTCATGGTAAAAATGCTGCTTTGCCTGCAAACAGTATAGTCTTTTGATACAATATTTCAATTTCAAGAATTCTCTGTGCACCTGCTGCTGCCTACAGACATTTTAATTAATATCTCCAAGCCTAAATAAAACACATCATTTTTTAAAGGGACCACGCAGTCTTCCCTGATCATTTTATAAACATCAAATATTCTACCCAACATTGCAACAATGTCACATGATGTTTTACAGCTACAAGACACTGTTTTATTCCAAGCATTTCTCAATTTGGAACACTCAAGTGGAATCCCTTCTTGGAATAAATGTGCAAGACTAACCCTTTTTTTAATTAATGAACTTCAGAATCCCACTCTATAATCAGTCTCTATTTGAACATCTCTGCTGAGAGGGCGATGTCAGTAATCCAATGAACTCCAGACATTTATGTTGGCTCAGAAGCATCAACTGAAAGAAAGCAGGGTTGCCAACTCTGCTTGGAATTATTCCTGGAGGTTTTGTCACTGACCTTGTGCCAGTAAAACAACCTTTTCACCATCTTCAATGTTATGAATAAATGTTAAATGTAAGCATTCAAAACAGCTTTTGGAAAATAATTATTTGATTGCCGTTCTGATTTTTTCCCCCTAGGTTTTGTTTACAGTAGTGACCAGGAGATTAATCTTCATTCCTTGGAGATTCCAGACATTCCCAGTGGATTGGCAACCCAAAGTGGGAACCGCAGCTTCAGATTGGGCAACTGGTACCAGCCACAGCTCAGGTGAGTGGAGCTGGAAACTTGCCCCACAGTGTATGAATTGATTTGACTGCAGAGACTTGCATTAAAAAAAATGCATTGATTTGAAATGTAATCATATCATAAATTATTCAGAGCTTGTTTCCATAGGAATCCAGTTTCATTTCGGTTTCTCTTACAGCGTCAATCAAAAGAAATGATGGAGCTGATTGCAGAATAATGTGTAATTTTGTAAAAAGTATCAACATGAATCACTATGCAACTGAGATGAAACACACAGTCAGCAGATAATATCATTGTGCATAAATACAGACATCGCCTCACTTGTTTGATGTAAATAACTTAACTGCTATACCTGGAAATTGTGATACCTTTGCTCAGATGATCTGCAAGTTGTTGTTCAGGTGTGGACAGTGTTACAGCATGTTGCATTCATTCAATAACTTGCATTTATATACTGCCCCAAGGCACTTTAGAGAAGCATAATCAAACAAAAATTTGACACTAAGCCACATAAGGATGTACTGCAGCAGATGATCAAAAACATACTCAAGAAGGAGCATCTTTAAGGAAGAGAGAGAGAAAGAGAGCGTGAGGTGGGAAAGTGTAGGGAGGGAGTTCCAGAGCTTTAGGGCTGAGGCAGTTGAAGCATGGCCATCAACTGAAGCATGGAAAATTGCAGACATGGATGAGGCCTGAATCGGATGAATGCAATGTTCAATACAGACTAGTATTGTTAAATCTTTGACAATTTTCTGTATAGATTTGTCACTGCGTACAGACTGCCCTGAAGCACTTCAATCTTGGCACACTTATTGCAAAGTGGACTGGATTTTGTTTGCAAACAAAACATGGCAATTGAATATGGTTCTCACATAAAGATATACCAGATCATTTAAACTAGCTCTGCACTGATTTCAAAATTGAAGTTGGAACAAAAATAATTGCATGGAAATCTTAACCAGCTTCACTCACCATTTCAATAGTAATGAAATGCACAAACTCGTTGTGGTAATTGGTATAGGTAAAATTGCCAGTGGTCTCCAGGTATAATAAGCAAAAGCAAAAGTAAAAGACAAATTTGAAAGAAAGAACTTGGATTAATATAGTACCTTTCAAAATTAGAGGCTCCACAAGTCCTTTACAGCCAATGAATTATTTGAAGTGAAATTGCTGTTGTAATGTAGGAAATGTAGGAACCAATTAACAAACAGCAAGTTCCCAGAAACAGAACTTGATAGAGGCCTGATAATCTTGGTCAATGATATTTGTTGAGGGATAAATATTTACAGGATAATAAGGAGAAATCCTCTGTTCTTCTTCGAAATAGTATCATGGTCTTTTACATTTATCTGAGCGGGTAGATGGAGTGTTGATTTAACATCTCATCTAAAAGACCACGTCACTGGCAAGAGTGCATTCCCTCAATGTTGTACTAGTTTAGTTATTTGTGTTCCTCTTTCTGAAGGGGGACTTGAGTCCATAAGTTCCTGACTCGGGTTGATAGCACTACCAAGGGAGCCGTGACTCACACAAAATTTAAGTGTCTATGTTAAACCAATTGTGTCAGAATGGCTCTTACCAAAACATAGGACATGGGAGTAGAGTAGAAAAGTGCCCTGTCCTGATAGCTCAATTAGTCCAAATGCTGGCGAGTTTAACAGGCGGCCAGTACAGCAGCACTCGTGCTCCCATTTCAAGGCAGAGAGCTGACAACTCTCAAAAGGCTTTAGACAGAGTAGCTTATGGTATTGGGTCAGTGTTCCTTTCCAGTATCACAGTACAAAGAATAAGGGAAGTTTGCAATCACGGGTTGCAAATTCCTGGTCAAGGTTAGGATGTCAATGTGAAGTGTGAAAAAGAAAGAGAAAATTATGGGAAGGGAGCCAAAATACACTTCCCTGGCCTTGCACTAACTATCAAAAGAGTTACGTACAATGACAAAGTCAGTTCCTTCCTCTTAGGGAACTGGTGGTGCACAGGAACAACATGATCAAGTTGATGGGGAAGGAGAAAGATTCAGGGAGCTGGAATCCCTTCTCTATTCAGAAACAACAAATTCCTTACGTTTTCTGTGAAATGAATGAGCTGCTACGAGCTGGTGGATTGCTGGCTTTAAAAGGACACAACTTCTGAGTACAGTTGTTTTGAATTGAATCATTTACAGAAAAGGGGAACTGTGGACTGAGAGATTTCTGTACATGGTATGGTCACAAATGCTATTGTGAAAGAAAGGAAATTGGTCACAATGACAACACCCTCTCAACACCATAAACAATCTCACTATTTATCTGAATAATGATGTAACACATGAATTTGTTTCCACCTGTCTTAAATCTACATTTACAATGTGGTTGCTAAAGTTCAACAATTTTGTCTGGCATTTAAACAAATAAAAAAGAAAGAGGAATTCGAAATTGCCTTTGGACAATGCTTGTTCCAGTGCACGTTGTTAGAATAGTCAGTTCTTTCCAAGCTGTCTCTTGGCTTTTTTTGCTGTTCCATGGGTACTTACAAACAAAAGTTCCTCAACTGCCAAACCAGAAAAGCACACAGGAGGCAGCAATTGCCACATTTTTGAACAACCTAAAACAAATTTCTACAAATGAACCCTGTTAAAATTGGCAAGTTATGACCACTGCTCTGACAGTCAGGAAATAATGAATTAACAGGAGAACCAGAAAAAAATGTTATCATCCCAAATGCTATTTTTAAAGTTGTGTCTTGTTTCAGGGAATGGGGGGGCGGGGGGTGCTTTTTCAACAAACCAGCACAGACATGATTGGCCAAATGACCTTCTTCTATACTGTATGATTCTATGATGTGCACAGTCCCATTAACGCATTGAAACAGAAGCGTACCTCAAAACCCGCATAATTCCATCACTAAATGCTCTGTGAAAAACACAGTAGGAACAGCATCTGAGAATTTCAAAGTCTAACACTCTGCAGAGTGAGTGAATTTGCCTGTGAAAGACATCCCAATATGGGCTATTAAGGGTGAAGCACACCTTTGCCTGTTTGTGGCTGACACAACTCACAGCAAATACGGGATTTGGTTGTCACCACTGGGACGTAAAAAATTCATCAAGGAACTAAAGAATTTGCATTTATATAGCACCCTTTATGAAATCAGGCTGTCCCAAGCTGGCTTACAGCCGATGAAAAAACTTTTGAAGTATAATTACAGTTGTAACATAGAAAACACAGCAGCCCTTTTGTGCACAGCAAACTTCCACAAGCAGCAGTATGTCTATTGAGGCAGGTATATTGGCCAGGACACCAGACAGAATATCTCTGATACCTTCATAATTGTACAATGGCATCATTTATGGGAATTATGTAGATACATCTCCTAAATATGTAACACATAACAACGACTGATTTAAAGTTAAAATGCAATTGGGGGATTTAAGGACTGCTTGGATCTAAAACATTTGTGTTTCATACAAACCTGCAGAATTTGAGGCTGAATATAATTCCTTAAACTGACCACTAGTAGCTTGATATATCAGTTCCTTGGGGTTGTTGGCTTACTCGCCGACCTGGCTGGTTATCGTACAGACGTTTTGTCACCGTACTAGGTAACATCATCAGCCTCCGATGAAACGATGTTGTTCTACTCCACTTGGTATTTAAATAATCCAGTCTGTTAAGTTGTTTTGTATATGAAGTCTAATTCTACATGTTTGTTGATTGCATTATGGGTTGAAAACCAGGTCTCTAGGAATTCCTGTGCGTGCGGTTGGCTGGAGTTAGGATGGTCACGTTGTCCCAGTTAAACTGATGGCCTTCATTGTCTGAGTACACTGAGATGAGGTGTGGAGCACCTCAACAAACATGTGGCATTAGACTCCATTTCCAAACCCACGCAGAACAGAACTGGAAATGACACAACCCAATTTAACAGACTGGATCATATGAACATCAAGCGGACTAGAACAACATCGCTTCACTGGAGGCCACACTGAAGATGTTACCCAGCATGGTGAAGAGACGTTTATATAGTAACCACCCAGCTCGGTGAGCAAGTGAACAACCTCATCCACAACCCGAGCTACAAATCTTCGCAAGAAACTTGTCAGTTACTTGTGAAAGGAAGGTTTGATTTAATTTACCTTATTGTGGTTTTGTAGTAGGCATATTGAGAGCAGCTGAAAGGGGTAATAAGGTTGTCTAAGATAGGAAATACGGTACAGTGTTAGAAAGTAAATTACAAATTTAAAGCTAAAATTTAAACATTTTACATTCCTTTTGTTCCTTTTTAAAACTTATTTTTTCCCTTTCTATTCAAGACCCATCTGGTTCTTTCCCTGATCCAAGAAACTGTTGAGCTGTCAAGACAGCTGCTAATCAATGGGTAGATCAATCCCCTAATTCTTCCTCCAGTTTATAGGAGTCACCTTTTTGACCACGTGGAATCTCTTTCTGCAGCATGGCAGATAGTAGCCAGTGCCAGATTGTTCTCTGCCTAAGTGCTTTCAGGGCATCAACCTATTCTGGCCCTCTTGATGGTCACTGATAATTTTACACTGGCAATGAGAACTTTGAATAAGTTCAAACCAGAACCGAACCCTCGACTCCCCAGCAAATCCCCTGGTTCTTCTCATCACTGATTTTTATGCTGCCTTCTGTTTTCAGGGAATACCCTGTGTTCACTGTAACCTTGCACACAAGATGTTTTGCAGGCACATAGAGGAATTGTGAAGAACTCAGACTGGTTTCAATTACGGTGCACTGAACAACAAAGTCAGAAATCTTTCTTCGGGACAAAACAAAGGATGGATTCTATGCCACATATTGCAAATTACAATCTGTGGGGATTTCATGATGAACTTAATTACAAATGATGATGGAAAGGAATCTCTCTGTATTTGTATAATAGCAGGGGTACAATGAATTTTTCACTTTAAAGAAGTGCAACTATTTTTCCCCTCAGGGTTAACTATATGTTACTGATAATAAGTATCCATTCACGTTTCACAGAAAGTTTATTTCAAAAAAATACTGATTGTACTCTGCAATGGTATTGTAGTTAGGCAGGTTGATCAGATGCTTTATGTATTGGCCTGAAGCGAAGTTTGTATTTGCAATCTCAGCCTGCGAACTCAGTTTC